GGTTCCATGCTACCCTCATCATCACATACTGGCTTCAGTACACCGAAACACAGGAAATGCAGGTGGATTCTCTCTCTCCTGGACTGTCTCCCTCTCAGGCTTAAAGTGAATTTATATTTCAAGATACTCATAAGTTCTGAAAAATGTTTTTTTCTTTGCTTGCAAATTCCAGTCTTTGGCAATTAGTTATCCCTGTTTTCTCTTACAATTCAAGTGGTTTTGTGCAGTATGAGCTACAAGCCAGACTACTTCATACATCAGTGAGATTATAACCCTTGATTGTGGTGGTTTCACATATTTTATTATTTTATTCACCTTAGATGTGCTTATCCACTCAAAAAAAGCAGAAAAAAAGGCAATTCTACTGCATAGGTTTTGTCATTACTTCTGTGCTGGAGAAAAACCTCAGTAAAGCATGTTTCCCCAGCAAGTTACAATCCCCCTTATCTTTCCCATACATTGCTATTCTCTATCCCTACTGAACACAAACATACACACAAACATTTACTGGGTACACAGGAAAACAAGCCAAAACGGCAGGAGGCAGAGCTATTGCTTTCTCAATTCAAAATGTAGAATCTACCCAACCTGGTGCAAGGGTGTTCAGGGACAAGACAGGAGAGAGCAGGATGATAGATGAATCTGGACCAAGCAATCCTTTATTCTGCAAATAGATCTTGTTAATATAGCAGCATATGAACGATCAGCTTCTTCCCAGAGGCAACCCTGTCCCCCAGCAAATGAAGGTGTGGAATCTGACATGACAAATATTGATTTCCCCAGAGGGATTTATTTTTCCAAACACAAGCAAGTATTATCTCAAATCAGCAACAAACCTCAGCAGCAGCTTGTATTTAAAGACACTTAAAACTATTATACTTGCAGCGTACATAATATGTAAATAACCATGTATGCCTAAGCACAATATGTATTTACATACAATTCCTGTAAATACATAATAAATGCAAGTATAGCAACAATCAATCGTTTCTGAATCAACACTGTTTTTAAGTTACGTTCTAGCTTTATTTTACCGTCATTTATTAAAGGCTCAGGACAAAGCCCTTTCAAGAGACAGGAAAGATTCCCATCAAGCCAGAATGACTTTGAAACATCCAAACGAACACTGCTTATCACATCGGTATGATCCGGTTCCTCTACTATTGTATAGTGCTAATTTAGTTATAGAAAGTTAAACTAGGGGAATTGTCCATAAATTTATCTTACTATTTTACTATTTTTTATTTTACTATTTATAGCCTAATTCTGAAGTCAGTGGTATGGCTCCCCTGGACACGAGACTGGATTTGACTCAGATTTAACCAGTTTTCTTAAGGTAAAGAAAAGTTTTCCCGAGTTGAAAAGAAAAAAAACAGTACATAAGTAGACATGCCTTTCTAAAAGACATTTCTGTAATCCAGATTCATCTTCTTCAACCATAGTATATCAAAAGAATAACATGATACAACATGGAAACTGGAAAATTTAATTCCATGTGCTATATGCAGCTCTGTCAAATTACTCTATGGGTAAAGCGCATCTGCTACTAATCCCCTTGTAATTGGTTCCGTTTACTCATTGTCTATTACTTGCACAGTTTGAGCTGCCTATTTAGGATAAAAACTGATTTCCGCAATCAGAAGTAGCCCTAAGATAACAGTTAACCTTGTCATCTGACTCGCTTTCAACAGTATGTGTATTTTTCACTTTCACTGTTAGAGCTGGCATATTTTATGTTGGTTTTATAGCAGAAAACATTCATAGAGGAGGAGAACAAGACCAAACCAAAGGAAAATTTTGGTAGTCATAAATATCAGTTGAAAAAAGCATGCTCTGCCTAAAACAAAAGCTTAGCATCATTAAATGTCCTGTTGTACTAACAAGACCCAAGAATGGCATCCTCACGGGCACTTATCAAAGAATAGTAATAATGACCACGCTTATCAAGCTTACACTCAAAACTTGCAATCTGGAGATAGTACTACATTATTTGATCTGCCCCTGAACTTCTACTTGAAAATTTCTAATGCAGATCAAAGGACTTCAGCATTTCATCTAAAAGACGAGGCACTTCAATTTTAGTTATTGTTTATCATATGAATCAGATCTTACATTCCTCTGTCTTCTCACAAATTAAATGCAAGTTTCTAGATTTATTTCTAGCGTCAAAATACTTTTTAAAAAAGGATTAATAATTGTTCCTTTTTTTTTTTTAAAAAAACAATGCATCTCCACACCAAACTTCATTCAGCTGTCAAAAACAAATACATACTTCAAGACAGAAACAAGCTAAACTATCTCAGACTAATGCACTTGTTCAATAAAAACCGCTTTTTCTATGGAATATAGACTAATACTTTCCTCAAAGTAGCGGCCGTTCAAAAGGGACAGCAACAAGGACAAATATTACAGGAATTTTCATCAGGTTGGAAACAGAGGCCTTCAGCATCCAAGTTAGGTCCACTGGACTACATTCCGTTTCAAATGCTATGAGAATGGTTTTTAAATGATCTTCCTAGCGTTTGTCAATACCGATCTTCCTATGCAGCCCAACCGCTAACAGTACTTTTCATCTACAACTATTTGTGCATACTTTTGTTCATAAAAGTTAGTAAGAAACAGAAGCAAATCTGACAAGTTGTAGTCAAAGAAGTGGACTGGTTTCATCTTTGACTGAAAAACAAGAAATATGGTGGCAAAGCTGTTCTTGAAAGATTATTTAGAAAACATCACCCTTTTCTTATTTAGAAAACATCTCGCCTTTTCTTATCCCTTCCTGAAAACTAAGTAAAATGTTAGGAACAAAATTATCTACTGTGTAAAAGAACAAAAAAGAGAATATTCAGCGAGTTACAGCATTACACAATCCTGAGTAATAAATATGCAAACTGTTCACTCTGAGTGCCAGCTGAGAACAGGTGATTTGGGGAGTGTAAAATTGGGGACTGTTTAAGAAGAACTTGCAAGCTGTCAGAAAAGTTACAACTTGGCAAACAAAAATTAGGCCAGGATAATTTTAAAAAAATCCACTTAGTTTAGAAGAGTCATGAGAGCTGCATAATGAATGAAACAAAATAAAGCAGTTGACAGCAATACACATGAATCAGAACTACAATATTGTAATACTGAACAGAGAGAAGAGGGACATGTAGAAAAATGAATGGCTAGCAGAGCTAAGGACTCTTTTAAAAAAGTGTTTTTAAGTACATTAAGAACACAGGATTTGTAAGTGTGCCATATATCTGCACAGTTTATGGCAGAAGTATTAATAGTAATACAGAAAAAGCAAAAATAATAAATACTAGTCTTCAAGAAAAAGCTAGATGACGCAGCTGCAGGGCGAGATGCTTTCTAAAACAACAGTAATTAAGTAGAGAGAAATGAATCAACAGTTGCTGAAACTGAACAGAGCTGGATAACTTGCATCCCAGAATTTTAAGAGAGAGCAACAAGCAGCATCAAGACTGTCAGAAAAAGATTACATTTCTAAGCTAAAGAAAAAAAAGGGGGAGAGAGAGTCATAATTATGTTCTTCTCAGCCTGGCATCAATTAATGACAAAATACTGGAGTGGCTAATACAGGACTTACTAATAAAGTTGAAAATAAAGTAATATTAATCCTAGTCAATATGAATTAATGAGAAAAAAAATCCAAACATCTTTTTTGAGTTTGAAAGCTTGGCTAATAGGTTATATTTTTGAAGTGATACATGTTTCCACAAAACATGGAACTTCACAGCCTCTGACATTTGGATTAATAACCTGGAATTATATGAAATGATATGAAATCAACATGAAATACATGGATTTAAAAAACACACTAGTAGGTGTCAATACATAATTGCAAACAGGAATTAACTGATTTTACCTGAATGCTGCAGAATTTGGCTCTAATGTTTGTATTGGTAACATGAAAGGAAACATAAAATATTACATATAAAAGCTTGTGCACAAAGAGACTGGAGAATGCTCTAAAATAAAGACAGCAGGACATCAATATGAAGTAAGAGACTGGGATTACCAGGAAAGCTGAGCAAAGAGGAAAAGAGGTTGTGCCAAATGAAAGTCTAACAAAAAGTATGTTGCCATATTTACACAATGGAAAACTACACTGAGAATACACAGTTTAGAAAAAGAGACCTAGAGTCGCAGGAATTAATCAGATCGACTTAGGTATCAGCATGACATTGCAACAAAGGTTTTAACATTAGTTTGTCTGCTCCCCTACCAATACATCCAGTGATTATATTAAATTACCTTCCGTATTTGACACTGGTGCAGAAACAGCTGGAATACTGCCTCATTCCAGTATTTATAATTTTTAAAGCATGTGAATATATTGGAGAACATTCAGAGGAGAGACGAACACACTTTGTACGCTAAAGAACTTCATCTATTTAGCTTATCAAAGAGAAGCTTGAGGAGTGACTGGAGCGCATAAGCAGCTACAAAGCCAGGAACATGTATTTCCTAACAGACATCTTCACAATCTAGAAAGACAAAGATATAAAAACTTTAAGCAATTGAAGGCTGTAACTATTAAAAAAGTAGGAAGCATATATTTTGTTTGTTTTTCTCAAAGATAATTTCTTACTTGAATAAGTTACCAAGAGCAGTAGCAGATTTTCTATCAAAAGTCACTTTTAACAATCAGGATTAAGATGTCCTTCTGAAAGACCTAAAACAAGCAGGAATTATTTCGGGGAAGTCCTTTGGCCTCGTCAAGTAGCGAGGAGTCAGATCACTGGAGTCTGCCTTTTTAATCTTTAGATCTATGAAATAATTCCATCAAACACTGCTTCTGCTGTAAATGCCAGGTACACCAATATTTTGGTGCTTTTGAGGGTATGTTAAGGATCATTGACCAAACAGGGATGGTAGAGGACAGTGAGAAAGTGAGGTATTTTGTAATTAAATGCAAGTTTAATTTGTTACTCTTTTTGTTCTGTTATGAATGCCCATCCAGCATTCACATAGTAACTCACATTAATCAACATTACCTTTGCACCTTTTAAAAAACTTGGTTTGCAGTCTCTTCTCCTCAGTGTCAAAGAAGTTTTCCACTGTAAGTAGAAAAAAGTAATTCATATTTACTTTCAAATTGTAACTTAGTTTAGGGTGACTGTTGGAATACTGGTCCTTTGTCTTTGAAGTCATATGCACGTCTTTATTTGCAATCAGGTATAAAACTAAATTTAAAAGTTTGATTACAGTTTAAAGCCAATACTTTAAATATTTTGCTTTGTAATTAAGGAAACAAGATTTTGACTACTTTTTTTTTTCCCTCTAGTCTCTTCTTCCAACGTTATTTAGTTTGAACCGGACAAAGGGTTATTCAAGCGAAAACAAACAAGGCAGATGGTAAAACGTCTGTATTGTCTGGAATTCCATCAAGTTACCAGCTACCCCATTACTGTCAGATGCAATGGCTCATCAGCAGTACCAGCAAAATTTATTAATCCTTGGAGAGCTGTCTTAAGCTACACCATAAAAACAGTGGCCTTTCAATCTCTAGTGGTCTTTTTCAAGACTAGATTCTTGATTAAATTGATCCAATATAGCTCTTCTGCATTTTCACAAAGATTCAGCTGCCACTGCCACCACGTCTCAGTTTCTCTCTAGGCAGAGGAAACTGATGTTTCTAGAGTTTGGAGACCGATTCAGAAATGTCCTTACGCACAGTTTTAAAAAGGCTCTTCCTATCCCAGACAACACTTAAATATGTACTGATGAATTTCAGTGCCACGTCTAATACAAATACTGTACTGAACAGAAAAAATCTTTGAAAATTTTAGGGAAGGACTCCCCAACTCAGAACCAATAGAAAAGGGCTTTGGTTTTCAGATCTTTAACTTGGATCAAATCATGCTCACTTACGCACCATTACAGCGATGGCTGTATGATGCTATATTAAAAAAGAAAAACAATAAAAGTCCATTCCAGCCAATTTCAGAGATACATATCTCCATCCTACAGGGCTCGTGCAAGGCTTATCAAAAAATCTAATAAAGGACTGAATCTCAGGAGAAAGTTACTCTGGAAAAAGCATTACTACCAAGGTATGCTAGCACATAGTAACCATGTTCTACCTCTGGTCAGGATGAAAGGTGGATGCAATTCTTTCAAAACTGTGTACGGCAATATACTCTAAGGTAAGTCTAAAAAGGATACAAGGAAAATCAATTTTCATATAGGACGCAAGATAACCTACGTAAGAGCCCAGTTACATCTCACTTAATATAAGCTCCTACAACAAAATGAGTAAGGTGTATTTAAACAGCATTACCTCCAAACATCCCAAAGTTCTTGACAAACTAAAATCCAATTTACAAGTTATATACATGGGAATAATTTCACTCTGAAAATATAGCTGGACTTTGGAATGAGACGCAGCAGTTAACATCACCAGTCTAGGAAACCGTCAGCGTCTTCAGCTAGCAGCGATTTAGACTACGCAATAGCACATAAGCTTGTGAGCTCAGAACCCCTAAAAGGGGGACCAGTAGCACCGTTGCTGAATCTCCTGCGGGAAGCTGGCACTCAGCAGGCTACAGGAGCGTTTATTGCAATTTACATGTTTCTGTTGTCACCTTCTGTTGCCACTCGTATTCAGCTTCTCATATCTGAGGTAAAACGAGTGGCTCTTCTGGCCCAAAGAGCTGTAACCATACTGCTCTCCAGCACAAAGCTGAATTGATCCTAGTTTCTTTATGCTCCTTCCACTGAGATATGGAGACAGAAGAACCATCTCTCAGCACTGCAGCAAAACTAAGATCCAAGTCAAATCAGGAAAGCTAAACAGCAGCCTCGGCATAATCACTGAAAACAAAAGGAATTTGCAGTCTTAATTCAACAAGCTAGGGAGATGGATTCGTGGGCACAGACACAAGAATGGGAAGTGATTTGGCCAATGCCAAATATCCCGTCAGTGAAAAGTGAGAGTAAAGCAGGTCTCCCAAGTTCCAGGAAACCGTTGTTCACATTCTGTAGGTGGAACAGCAAAGACCAGTGACTCTTAACCAACCCAAAGGCTCCTTTAGAATTCAAAAGCCGACTGTATTAGCCACCTCCCTCTAATGACCTCAGAGTTTTGAATAGGAAAGGACCTTATTTTAAAGGTCTCACTCTGCCTGAAAAGAGCCATTATAATGATTACACAGTTGTATAAATACCTCTGCTCAGGGTACATCTTCACTTAAAAACAGAACTCTGAAAATGTGGCTGCTTTACTGTAGGACAGAGCATAAAAAGAATTGTTTTATCAGCAGGAGGCTCTGTGTTCTTTTAGGTATTCAGAAGCAAGGGGAAAGCCAAACATATCATCCTTACAGTCATTATTCTGGCCTCTTCAAAACCTCTTGGAAACAGTTATAGAGATCAAGCGAACAGATTAGCAGCACTTTAGGCAAGGCTTAAAACTTGATCTTAAGCTATCACAAAGCAGGAACTAAAAACAAAGTGAAAAAGCTTGAGAGAGTTCCCTTTAATTTCTATTTCTACATTACTAAAAGTTAGAAATGTGCAACGTTCCCTGAAGGAGAGAAGGTTTTGCTCTATGTCTAAAAATATTTTAAAATACAAGCATATCAGAACTGATGTCTGGATCCAAAACTGTATTTGGTGCCAACTCTTTTTCTACTTGTCCTCAAAAATGTATCCATTTCCTGTTCATGAAGTCATTTATACATACATTTATCTTTCAGTCCATGCTCATGTGTTATTTTGAGTAGCGCATGAATTTATTTCCTTACTTACAGAAAATAAAGTTACCAAAATACAGTGTTCATATTGATGCTTTTCTGTATGTTAAGCTGTTGAGAAAAAACAGGGAAATTATTGTTCAGTATATTCATCCCAATATGTGGGAACACAGACCCATTCCGGCAGCCCTTGGAATATATGGCATGTTATTATTTTTTTTTTGTAAACATTTAAAAAAATGGTAACAGACTGGTGTGCATTGAGATGCCTGCACTTCACGGCTTTCTTGCATACAGTCTAACCACAAGTCACAGCAAATACTCTCTGGAGACTGGCAACAGCTGCTAGCTAAAGGTTTAGACCTAATAGTGTTCAAATAATTTCTGGTTCAGTGGCACTCAGAAATGCCGCCTCTGTGCGATCCATCCCTCTGCATTAAAAGGACTGAGGTGGTTTACCTCTGCTGTCCAGAGGTGTCTGACACAGGATTGTTACTGGTGCATTTTGCCCTGTTAAGTTACAGGTTTATGATTATGAATGTAAAACAGGAGTCCACTAACATGCATCAGAATAGTACACAATTAAAAAACACAGCAAAGCTTAGGGAAACTCAAGACGACCCATGAAAGAGGGAATTCACCCTGACACAAATTGGTTAAGGGCAAAGAGACAAACTGTGCTGGTGGGGCTACTCAGTTCCCACAATTTATTCTTTAATAACTCCTGCTGTAATATTTCTGGGGCACATCAAAGAACAATACAGGCTGATGTTGGTAATCCTTCTCACATATAAAAACTTTCATTACAGAGTGTTAAAGGCATCATTCTGTCTGAGAAATAGGAATTGATAGGGGTTGGCTTTTCTTCTATCCTGGGGAAATATCTAAGGCTCTTTCTCATGGTGACGCTGAGTACTCTTGCCAGAATTTGTTCTGAAGGCTGCAGATGTGCAATATGATGAAAAATCTCTTTGATAAATGGGAAAAGGGAAAAAAAAGTTCAGCAGACCACTTTTCTGTGTCAGACCTAGAAACTGCTTTCCATTCTAATTAGTTTTAAAATGTTTCTTGTAAACACTTTTCCATTTCTTCCTCCAAAGTTGTCAGCACTAATTTTTACACAGATGCCTGTATTCAACATCTTCACTGATACGAACAGGGTGAAACAAGTTTTATTCTTTATCCATCAGAATTACAAAGTTATTTTCCTTTTTGTAGTTACAGTGGTCGGATAGACTGAGTTGGCTAAGGCGCACCCTTATCATTTCAATTTCAATTCAGTGTGATATTCTTGCTCGTTTCCCAAGCTAAAGACAGCCACAAAGTGCAGCAGTTAATTATGCCGTTGCCAAAGTCTACCCCAGAAAGGATTGCATCTTGGAAGCCTAGCAGAACTACTTATGCATTTAGTACACAGCATAAACTTCAGAGGTTTGAAGGGATGGCACTGCATTTCATAGCCTCATGCAAAATCAGGTAGTCTCATGTATTTATAATACACATTTATGGAACTGCAAAATGAGAATATGTAATAAAACCAAGAGTGTAAATTGTCCTCTCTCTTTAAACAAGCAAATCAGATTAGAGCCTTATCTCATCTACAGAAATAAGTGAACATAGAATTAGGTCCAAAATTCATATTGAAGGTAACCACTGCCCTAGAGCTAGCCAGTAAAAGCTCCCAGCAGTGCATCAAGATACCAAGATTTTTAGACAGAGGCTATTACCCACTGCTGATTTTGTTTTCAACCTAGGGGAAAAAAACCCTTACTAGATGCTGAAACCTTTAGCAGAAGAGAATCTAAAGTTCTCGTTACTGCGGTGTACGTGAAAAGTAACTTCCTTGACTTCAGTGAAGCTTGATAAGTACAGACTAGAAAGAGGAGAAATTGTCCCTATGTGTTATTAAACTCTTTAAAAATTGATACAAAGAGTGCTCTAGTAACAACAGCTGACCACTCTGATTAACGTAACTATTTCTTTCTTCCTCCTTTTCATATCCATTGTATTTTTAAAAAAATGGAAATATAAAACACACACCCATTTGTAAATTCAAAACAACCAAAAAATAAGCCTAAAACGTTCTCAACATCTCATGCTACATAAATGGGCAGGGTCTACAATGGGGAGTCGACACTGCCTGCGTTATGTGATTAAATGTTGCTGCAAGCGTTCTTGTACCAAATACTTCCAGCAGGCACATGGGACCAGTGTCACACGCGGGCAGATAGAAAAAGCAGCATGACCTCTGCCCAAATCAGTCGCTAATTTGAATAGATAAAACAGAGACGGGGGATACAGATAGCCAGGACTAAGGAAACAGTGAAACAACAGTCAATAGGACAAGTACTAGTCTCAGCACA